CAAATGTGGTGAAGAACGCTGATGATGCCCGGTTATCAAAAGATATAGCGTCTGGGGTCTTAAAGGTTTGAAGATAAACAAGCGGCCATCTATCTCAGAAGCAACAAAGCTCACATGGAAGAAGCACACCAGCCTGTGTGATCATGAGGTGTCAGTGGGATCAGATATCAGGCATGTAAGACCCAGAACAAAATCATACCCAATGTGAAGGGGGGCCAGGGTATGGGTCATGGAGTAGAGACCCAGTGCCCATCTGTAGACAATTGGACATCATCTCACAGAGGGGTCACAGGGAAGAGATGAGCCAATCAGCTGCAGGATGGCACTGACTTAACACAAAACTTTCTTCTAGTTCTTTGGTGCTTCCTTCCCCCACTATCATGACCTCAGTTCTACCTTACAAATTGGATGGGACCAGACATGCACACTGCTACAAATAAGAGCCCGCAACACAGGGAATCTAGGATAGATAAACCCCTCAGGGCCAACACAGAGCAGAGATACCAGGAGGATTAGGGGACGATATGGGGAGAAAGGGGAAACTGATCACAAGTATCAACCTATAACCCCCTCCCAGTGGGACAAATAATGGAAAAGTAGCTGAGGGGCACAGGATGATGTAGGATATGGAAAATAATCTATAACTTAGCAAGAGTTCGTGAGGGAGGGTGTTTGGGGAGGGAGGGGGGTGAAATGGGGAGCTGATACCGGCCTCAAGTGGGAAGAGAATGCTTTGAAAATGAGGGCAGCATATGTGCAAATATGCTTAACACACTGGAGGAATGTATGGATTGTGATCAGAGACGTAAGAGCCCCGTATAAAAATATATTTTTAAATATTAATAAATTATAAAATAATTATAATTTTAAAATCTAACCTTTCTCATGGTCAAAACAACAGCCAAAGTAAAAAAAAATCCACTACCACATGAGCAATAGAAAGGAAATTCCTCAACATGATCAAAGTCACTGACAAAAAAACTTAAGTGATATTCACTGGTGAAAACTGAAGTGCTTTTAAGATCAGGAATAAGACAAAGATGCCTGCTTATGATAATTCTACTCCACATTGTACTAGAAGTTCTAGCCCGAGTAATTAGTCCAGGTGCAAAAGAAATAAAAAACAGAAAGGAATAAGTAAATCTATTTACAGTTGACATCTTACATGAAGGTGCTTCAAAAAGTTTGTGGACAAAATAGAATTGAAGAAAATAGAATTTTCCTATGAACAATTTAAAAGCCCCTTTTTAAGCCCCGTTATGTACTGCAAACCTTAAGGAATTCACAATTTATTACACCTGATCAATAAATTCAGCAAAGTTACGTGATACAAGATCAACAACAAAAAAGTTAGTTGTATTTCTATTTACTCTCAAGAAACAATACAAAAGGAAATTAAGAAAGCAATTCCATAAGTATCAAAAAATAGTATCAAAAAGAATGCAATAACTAGGAATAAGACTTGTATACTGAAAACTGTAATACGTTACCGAAATAAAGAAAGCCTTAATATTGTTACATGGCAATTCTACCCAAAGCAATCTACAAATTGAATTCAGTTTTTAACAAAATCGTAATGGGTTTTTTCTTTTTCATTATAAAAATGAAAAAGATGATTCTCAAATTTGAAAGGAATTGCAAGAGACCTCTAGTAGTTAAAACAATGTTGACTGCCAGTTGATCTTTGAGAACTGCCCCAAGAACATTAAATGGGCAAAGAATAGTCTTATAAACAAAAGCTGCTGGGACAGCTAGAGGTCCACTTGCAAAAGCATGAACTTGGACCCCTGCCTTTCATTATATTCTCAAAGTAAGCAAAAGCAAATCAGCGACAAGATAAGAGTCAAAAGTAGTAAATGTTCATGCCCTGATGTCCTGGGCTGGGTTGCCTAGAGATACAAAGCCAGTGATAGATAGAGCTTTATATAAAGAAGTAATCTTATGAGGATGTGGAAATAGATCTATGTGCATATATTTATAGGTTTAGTATTAAGGTAGCAGATGGACATTGGGCCTCCACTCAAGTCCACCCTCAATGCAAGAATACTTTGTTCTATTAAATTGGCATTCTGTGATGCTCACCTTCCCAACACAATCACTGAAGACAAAACGGGTACATAAGCAAATGTGGTGAAGAAAGCTGATGGAGCTCGGCTATCAAAAAATAAAGCATCTGGGGTCTTAAAAGCTTGAAGGTAAACAAGCAGCCATCTAGCACAGAAGCAACAAAGCCCACATGGAAGAAGCACACCAGCCTGTGTGATCACGAGGTGTCGAAGGGATCAGGTTATCAGGCATCAAAGAACAAAAAATCATATATCATTGTGTGCTCACCTCCCTGATACGATCGCTGAAGACAAATGGGTGCATAAGCAAATGTGGCGAAGAAAGCTGATGGTGCCCGGCTATCAAAAGATACAGCATCTGGGGTCTCAAAGGCTTGAAGATAAACACGCAGCCTTCTAGCTCAGAAGCATCAAAGCCCACATGAAAGAAGCACACCAGCCTGTGCACTCACGAGGTGTCGAAGAGATCAGGTATCAGGCATCATCAGAGCAAAAAATCATATCATTGTGAATGGGGGGTGGGGATGCAGAGTGAAGACTCAAAGCCCATTTGTAGGCCACTGGACATCCCCTTACAGAAGGGTCTCAGGGAGGAGACGAGCCAGTCAGGGTGCAATGTAGCAACGATGAAACATACAACCTTCCTCTAGTTCCTAAATGCTTCCTCCCCTCCCCTCCCCCCCATTATCATGATCCCAATTCTACCTTACAAATCTGGCTAGACTTGATGTACACTGGTACAGATAGGAGCTGGAAACACAGGTAATGCAGGCCAGATGATCCCTTCAGGACCAGTGGTGTCATTGGCGATACTGGGAGGGTGGAGGGAGGATGGGGTAGAAAGGAGGAACCGATTACAAGGATCTACATATAACCTCCTCCCTGGGGCCGGACAACAGAAAGGTGGGTGAAGGGAGACGTCGGACAGTACAACGTATGACAAAATAATTTGTAAATTTTCAAGGGTTCATGAGGGAGAGGGGAGGGATTGGAAAAAATGAACTGATGCCAGCGGCTTGGGTGGAGAGCGGATGTTTTGAGAATGATGAGGGCAATCGATGTACAAATGCGCTTTACACAACTGATTGTATGTGTGAATTGTGATAAGAGTTGTATGAGCCCCTAATAAAAGAAAAGTAATCTTATATCAAAAAGACTGCTGGCCCAGTGGCTGTTGATCTCATACTAGCCATGTCTTCAAACTCACATGGCAGCAAGTCAATGACACAGAAACAATCTAAATGTTTGTTAACTAATGAATAGATCAATGAGCTATAGTATGTATATACAATGGGTTATTATGCCATAAAAAGGAATGAAGTACAGTGATACATGTGTCCATTAGGATGAACCTCAAAAACCAGGCTGAGTGAAAGAAGCCATGAAGAAAAGCCGCACATTGTATGATTCCATTTATATACGATATATTGGCCCTACCCAGCCAGAGATAGAAAGCATACTGATGGCTGCCTGGGGCTGTGTTTGAGCTTTTCCTTTTGGGGGTGTTGAGATCATGTTTGAGAACCTGATAGAGGTGATGGTAATACAACATTGTGAATGTGCAAAATGCTACTCAGACACACTCTGAAATAGTGAACCTTACGTAAACCACACCTAATTTTTTAAAATTCTGAAACATCAAAGGGATCATTTAAAATAATTAAATTGGTATGGTTAACTAAATAGGAATATGTCTTCTCTATTCATATTGAGGCAGGGCCTGGACTGTTCTACCTTTCTGAATAAAATTGAGCTCAACTTCTCAGTATCTTTATGGTATTCAGTGGCAGAAAGTATGTGGTGGTGGCAGTGAGGTTTATTAAATACAGAGTGCAGTGAATGACGAGAGGAATCACAGCTCTTTCCACTTGAGCTCATCCTCTCAAAAATAGTCAACCCTGTCCTGCTGAGGTCGTCTTTCCTTCCTCCTCTGTCAAGACCAACTGGTCCTCTTCACTTCACCTATGAGAAGACTTATTTTGTCTGGCTGACCTCATTTGTTCCTGATGGAGTTACTGGGTTAGTGGGTCGGAGCTGATGAGTCTGGGTTTCATTGGAGTACTCAGCACAGTCTAGTGATGTCACTGTAGTGCACCTCAGAGCTCGCTCCTCAGTTTTGTCTCCTCGTGCTTTGTTTTTTAGTTACATTTTGATGTCCAGAAACTGGCTAGCTTTCAGACCAGAATCTTAAAGTGAATAGGAATGGGTGATTATTAATGGACCAAGTAAAATAAGATGAATTACTTCAGAGTTAAAAGTCTTACACTTGGGGTGGACAGCCCTGGAAGGACAGGCCTTTACAGGAGCTCCTGCAGAAAAACTGAAGGATGTGATCCCCCCTGACCTCTCCAGATGGGTTGCTGTATGTGTCTCACTAATCAGGACACATTTAGGGGTTTGGTCACCAGCTTCAGGTTCTCTACTTTGACAGATGTATAAAGAGGACAAGACAAGAAAACCCAGAGCATAGTATGTAGGGATAGTGATACAGATGAAGAAAACACTAGCTATCTTCTCGAGACCTTCTCAAGAAAGGGGGGAGTGGCGTTTGAATCAGCTTTCATGTGTGGCCATAAAAAACATTCAAGCAAAACCTGGTTGACCAGTTTCAAAAATATTCTAGAAGGGATTCATGTTATAAAGGCAGAACTGCGTATTAGCTAAAATGTCTTTCAACCTTAAGATTGTGTGGATCTACATAATTACTGGACACCAAATGGGGATGGGGGAGGAAAAGAAAATATAGGCCTAGGCATATGGTCCAATTTAAATCAGTTAAATAAATCCATACTGGATGCTTCCATTCAAGGAATTGTTGGAAAAAAGGGGGGTGGGAATTGTTGAAGGTGCTATAAATAATTCAGAAGTGGTGCAGTTTTCAGATGTGGGTCAGTATTAGCAAGAAGGTCACTTTCCTTTGGCTTTGTTTTCTAGTCTAGTCTCCTGAGACAAGATCTAGGGCTTGGGAGCCCAGCACAGCTGTCTTCTTCAGGAAAGCCTGGTGCACCATACTACTCATACTCAGCCACGAGTTCCAGGAGAAGACCACTCCATGACTCGGCGACGCTTGGTGAGTGTACCGTACACACAGCAAAACCCATCCTACAGATTTTACTTCTGAGTTTCCCTCAGTCTGCACTCTGGCTGTGTTTTCTTTGTGTGTGTGTGTGTGTGTGTTTTCACCTAGAGGAAATTTAGGGTATCATACTGATGTTGGAACTTTCCTGGATAAAAATAACTAGCCATTAAATATTTAATTACCAGATTTTCAAATTTTACAAATCATGATTTTTATTGAAGGTAAATGAGATTGCTTAGCTGACTTTAATCCCTATGCTTCTAATCTTAACAGTTTTCAAACCATCAATTTCAGTACCTTGTTTTGTCTCCTGTAGAAGATGCACCGTGAGAGCAGGGTCTCAGTGGAATAGTCTTGTTTTTCCAGGCTCACGGGTTTCCCCTGTCACCAGGGCACCCTTTTAGCACTTTTCTGTCACTTTGCTTGGTGGGAAATGTTTGGGTTTTCCTTCTCTGATGGCTTTCTACCACACCAAAGTTCTAGCTTTTACATAACTGGTAAGGGGGAACCGATCTCAATGATCATTGTACAACACCCCCACCCCCACCCAGGGGACGAACAACAGAAATGTGGGTGAAGGGTATAGTGGGTGGTGTAAAATATGAAAATAAAAATTTATAAATTACCTAGGGATCATGATAGTGGGACGGTGGGAGAGGGAAGAGGAGGGAAAAAAAGCTGACAACAAGGGCTCAAGTAGAAAATATTTAGAAATGATAATAGCAACATGTACAAATGTGCTTGATACAAGTGATGTATAGATTGTTATAAGAGCTGTAAGAGCCCCCAGTAAAATGGTTTATTTTTTAAAAAAAGAGAGATTTAACCAGTTTTTCCTCTGACAATGAAAGATATCATAATATTACTATCAAAAATCTTATTTTTGACTGATCCAGAGTTTGAGCAGTTTTTATATACAGTCTCATTTCATAAGTACAGTAGCATTGTCACTCTGTGGAGGGCATGTTCATACACCAGGGACCATCTAAAAGTTCATGGGAAAATCCAGTAATCTATTAATTCTATTTCTGCATGAACTCTTTGAAGGCCTTTCTTAAAGCCGGCTGTTTTTGAAGTCCACAAATCAGTGGTATGCAGGACATTCACAACCACCCCCTCTACACAGTTCCAAAACATCCCCTGAAAAAGGGACTCTTTACACTGCCAGCTCTTTATTTTGCTTAGCTCCCTTCTTTTGTGTCTGATATACAGCCTAGCCAGGTCAGTCTGTTTTGGGTTGCTGCTTCCAGCAAGCCTCAGGTATACTCTGATTCCTGATGCAGTCTGTGTGACTATGGCAATTCCTGGTGATTTCTACCAACAAATCCTTTATATCCTAAATAAATATTGCCCACCAAAAGAAAATATACCATAGTTACTCATTTTAGAAATATTTGTAGATAGTCTCTAATTTACATATTTATATTTACCTTCTGTCAGACCAGTATTTTGGTGCGATATTCCAAGTCTCTGGGCCTAAGGTGTGCTTAAGAGCATAAAAGGACCTACTAACGGATCTCTTAAGTCCCGGAAGGACAGGGTGAACCCAGATGACTTAGAACCCAGATGACTTATTATTAAAGAAACGATAAACTATAAGGCTCCACCTCACAGACTTTGGGCATGTTATCAGAAGACACCAGTTCCCTGAGAAGGACATCCTGCTTGATAAAGTGGGGAGGCAGCAAAACAGAAGGTCCTCAGTGAGCTAGACTGACAGGCACAGTGGCTGCCACAGTGGTCTCTGTGCGGATGGTGCAGGAACGGGCAGTTTTGTTCTGTTGTAAGGTTGCTATGGATTGGAACTGGCTCAGTGGCACCTGACAACAACAACAAAAATTGTAAAATGCCTTTTTCCATCTACACTCTTCTTTACTACTAAATGAGTTAGTTGCAAAAGGGACATTCAGTGGAGAGCAAATGTGTCAATGTCACCTTAGAAAAATTCCTTGTTGATATGCTCTGTTAGCACATACAGTGATAAAAATCACTACTGTAGACCAATATATTATTACCGAAAATTCATGGTGTAGAAGAAAATGAACTATTAAAATAATTAGGAAGAGATTGGATTTCATAAATATCCAGAGTTCCAATTCAGGGTTTCTATAAATTAAAGATTATGTCTCTTTCAGTTGTTTGAGCGTGTTCTCTGTTACTACACTATATACGTGTTCTTCCTTCACAAAGCCTCTGATGCCTTGATACTAGCCTCATATTACAAATAAGGAGACCCAAACTCAGAGAAGCTAAATCCCTTAGCCAAGGTCCCACTATTATATGATGGTTTTCTTGATGCCCAGAAGGCTCACCATCTCCTGGCTAAATACTGTTTCATGGATTATTATTCATTTTACTTGGTTATCTCTTGATCTTAGCTGCTTTTTCTTGGCCTTAACATGTATTCATAAAATTTCAAGGTTAAAAAGACTTTTGTACCAATCCCAGCATCTTTTGAAACTATGTAGATACTTTAGGAAATAAACATTATAGAACAGTATAATAATATATAATATGATAAAATAAACAATATAGAACATTAAATATCTAATTTATGATTATTTTGCCACAGAATTTCATATAAATATAACATTGATGGCTATACGGTATTAAATGTCACTCTGAGTTATATACTGCCCAGGTGTCTTTCATATATTATCTTTATCACAATAACTCTAGAAGGTGTTGTCTACTCCCATTTTAAATATGGAAGCTCAAAGGGGTGATAACTTGACCAAGTTCAAACATTTTCTGTAGAATAGTGTTGAAATATGAACCCAATCAGATTATTCTCTTTAACTACTACTACTATACTTTGCAGCCTCTCAAAAGTGAACCATGAACTACATGCTCCTGATTTTAAATCAGACATGATGGCCCAAACAAAGTAGCCACATCTAGTAGTAAAGGACAAGAACAGTTCATTTAACTCTCTTAGTATAAAGACTGAGATGCTGTTTTAGTTGTGAGGAGTTGGAGTCTAGACAAACCTTACACAGAACATAGATTTTGCCTATAAGTTTTACAAACACACAGAGAGCCAGGTTTTTATCTTTAGCACACGTTGTTTTTAGGGAGGGTAGGCTGCATCTTGGGGCAGTAACAGAGAAGCCAGTGAATGTTTCCTCCTCCTTTTATTATGTAAAATTTTTCTACACACTATTTACAAAGTTGGGATTTTGCTTTGTTTTTAGCTTTGTAGCTGTGGAAAATTCCCAGCCCCAGTTTAAATGGGTTTGACCCTTCCTTACACAACTGTATATCTTACTGTGTCATGTCATTGGTGGCTTAAGAAAATGCCATGCTTGCTTTTTGGCTTTTTTGCTTTTAATCATTTTATTGGGGGCTCATACAACTCTTATCACAATCCATATATATATCCATTGTATGTCAAGCACATTTGTAAATTTGATGCCCTCATCATTCTCATGCTTAATTAATTCTCATTTTTAGTTTTAAGAAATGTTATACTTACATCAGCCTTTCATGTGTTCTGTCTTCCTAATAGTGAACCCTTGAAAGTCTGCATTTAATGCATTATTTATGTAAGGTGTAAACCTGTGCTGCTTACTTTACTTTATAATAAATTAGTAAGTAAGGCAAGTTAAGTAAACTTAAAATAGCAAGTTGGGTATATGAAAATACTCGTGCTTTCAATTATTATTAATAAGTTATTTGGGAATTAGAAGTGAAGTTCTTCCATTACTCCATCTTATATTGAATGATGAAGTGTACAATAATTTGTGCTGAAGTTGTAGTCTTAACTCCACATTAATAAAGTAAATGTTCTCACAGAATGTTAGATGGCATTGTGTATGACAACGCTTATAGTTTGTGTAGCTTATCTCTGATACTCTCGGTGTATGCAGACACTGAATTTGTGTCTTTGTTAAGAAGTTTGCATTGTTAATGTGACCTGTTGCACCAAATGCCCCTTATGCAAATGAAACAGATAAATGATGTGCAATGTCTAGTTTAAAGTCCACTGATTCCAACCCATCGTGGCCCTATGGCAAAAAGGCTGAACTTAAGACATGAAAATTTCCTTTGCTCTCATGTGCTGCTTTGATTGCCGATTTCATCTTTTGTGTGTGGGTGCATGTTGCTGTTTCTTTTTAAATGTATGGGGCATTTGATCATTTCAGAGTCCATCCCTTTATCAGCTGAACTTGTTTTGCACTGGAAAGTACGAAAGGCGCTAGGTGGGGAAAGTCCTTCCATCTCATTTGCATCTGATCAGCTCTAATATAATACACTGATGCAGTATATTGTTTTCCATGTGCAGATCCTTTGCAAGCGAAGAAAGTCAGAAAGGTGCCTCCTGGTTTGCCTTCTTCTGTAAGTACCCTTTTTTAACTTGGTGGTAAACAGACTGGTTTCCAGTGCTCAAGATTTATTCGACTGGTGCCTACCTTTACATAGTTAACTGTTCACTGCCTAACGGAATCATTGATTGAGATGAATCTACATTTAATGTGAAGTTTTTAGATTTCTCTGCAATGATTTGTGGCTTACCCCTTATGCTCTTACTCTCTGTCCCTGTCATTTGAATTCCCCTCTTGGGAAGAGCACTAGGCCAGTAGCTGTCAAAGAAGATCTCCTGTACAGGTCTTTTGATGTTTAATTAGTCATTATGTTGCTGAACAGGAGGACAGACAGAGATTAATAGCTGAGAATCTTAGAAATTTACATTTGTAATAATCCCAGTGGAGCTAAAGACATTAAGATTCTGGAGGACATGTTCAGCTCAGCTTGCCTCAGTAGGACTGGGGTTATTAATATGCATAAATCACTAAGTCAGATGCTCATTGTGAAGCCCTTGTGGATTTTAAAGCCTTCATTAAGCCTTTCCTAACTTCAGCCTAGCATCAGGAAAGCTTTCAAGCAACTAGTTTGTTGATCCCTCTTTGCTCAAAAATGTGTCCTTTGAGAATAAAGGGCTGTGATGAAAGGAGCTGGACATTGGTGGAGCAACCCCTAATGGCCATGATAATCTAATGCGGTAGCAGTGTTTGTGCTACTAAATACACTTTCTTCCCCTAAAGAAGTAAAAGTATTTGTAAATGAACCTGCATAAATCCACCAGCCATTTAAAAAATCCCTGGTGCCAGCAGGGAAGTTGTTTATTTCTCCTTTCCCTTTTCCTAGAACAAATGAGGAGCATGGAGGCTATTGGATTGAGGCCTCAGTGCCTCACTGGGTACATCCCTTTGTTGTGTAAATGGTGTTGAGCTTTTATTTGGTTGTACTTAACACATGGGTGCAGGTGCTGCTGGGTGAGTCACAGCTCAGCGAAGTACAGAGTGAATGGAATATCTGACTTGGCAAGTAGCAGTCTAGAAGGAGCAGCATGGGTCTGAGCTTTTTATTTTTTATTAAGGCTGCAGTAGAGATAGCATCTTTTTTGGTTGTTTACTTTCCTTCTTTCCTATGTTCTTCCCCCCACCTTCTCTTCCATGCGATACATGAAAACTGGAATTTTAAATCCTCTTTCAGACACAGCTCCAGATGGATCTGAGTTTTATGCAGCTTAGGGCAGCTGTGCTCTGAACCTGCAGCCTACCTGGAAGGTTGGATTGCAGCTGCAGACATTCTTAAAAGCTTTTGCTTGCATAAGCACTTGGGCCCACTAGAGGCTGAATAGCTGCTTGATAAACAAAATGAACACAATGCCTCAAATCATTATTCCTGAAGACAGGAATTTTTTTTTTTCAACAGCAGCTAAAAATAGTTGGGTAATTTACATTTTAACAGTTGCATGCTTTGCAGGGGTAGGTGGTTCAACAGTATAACAGATGATTTCTGCTATGTTAACAGAAATCATATTAAAACTGACAGAACTGCTAAAACATGTAACAGTGCAATTTTCTTGTAATGTATTACTATAATTCTGTGAGAGTAATAAAAATTAAATTACATATTAATATTCAGTAGAACCACACAGGTAAAAAAAATCAGATTAGTAAATGAAAAATTCATCTGATTTCTCCTTGCCTGATATTAATTTTAAGAAACAATATTCAATGTTTCATAGTTCTTTCGCTTTTAAAATGAAAGAAAGACAAGGGTGAAATGGTCAGAGCAGAAAAAGAAAGTAGACACACAGTATCAGTGTCATCTCCTAACCGCTTTCACTACTTGGCGGCAACTCCTTGCCATCTTGTCAATTCCCACTCATAGTGACCCTCTAGGACAGAGTAGGACTGTCTCATAGGGTTTCCAAGGCTGACATCTGTAGGGAGGCCGGCGACCACATTTTTCTCTCATGGAGAAGCTGGTGGGTTTGAACCACAGACCTTTCCGTTTGTAGCAGAGCACTTTAATATACCAAAGCTCTATACTTGAATCTCTCAAAACCCATTGCCATCAAGTTGTTTCTGACTCATCTCAACACTGTACTTGGAGCTAGTGTGCGAGGTATTGTCTCAGGTGTCTGGGATGGGCCACAGAGAAAGGGAAAGGCACTGAATCCTGGCGCAACATCGATTTCTTTGAGAACCACAGGCACTTTTGAAAGCTTCCTTACATATTGCATTTTACCAGCTAACTTAGCTTTGGATTCATTAACTGTTTGAACAGAATAGAATTCAGTCTTCAAGTCTGTTTCTAACACCTATCTGGTCAGGCACAAGTCATATTGTATTTTACCAGCTAACTTAGTTTTGGATTCATTACTGCACTGCTCCATAGAGTTTCCCAGCTTGCAGCCTTTGTGGGAGCAGATTGTCTGGGCTTTTTCCCACAGAGCAGCTGGGGAGGTTTGAACTGCCAGTCATTCAGTTAGCATCCCCTCACTTACTCTTTATACTACTCAGGCTCCTTCACAAACTCTGTAAGATAGCTACTATCCTCTCTACCACCACCGCCGTTGATATCCACTAGTTTTGACTCATGGCGATCCCTTGTGTGTCCGAGTAGAATTTTGTTCTGTCAGGCTTCAGTGGCTGAATTTCTGGAAGTAGATCACCAGGCCCCTTTCCTCTCTCTCTCAAATGCCTCAGGGTGGACTAAAAGCTCCAGCCTTGCGTTTAGCTGCCACCTGCTTTAATTGTATGCAGCACCCTAGGACAACTTTTTAACCAATGAGAGCATTAAGACCCAGAGACAATAAATAACGTGCTGAAGATGTCACCCATATAGCCACAACTGCAATACCAGATCATGTCAAAGACTATTTTCTTTGTACTTTTGATGCTAAGAATATATACCTTGGCTTACTAATGCAGCTTTGATTATTATACTTAAAAGGCAATCCTGTCAATTATGGGGCGTGGGGTGTTTCAATTATGTGTTTATTGACCAAATTTTAATTTAATCTGCTTTGTTGTGCAGAGGCTGACAACCATGTGCAAAAGAACAGTGCTGTAGTCGTAGAACAGCACAGACTTTCTCGTCAGGCGGATAATGGGCTTTATCTCATCTGTTTATTTTGGAAGCTTAGAGAAGTGGACCTCATGTTTCCAGCTCATTAAAGGAGAGAATTGTGCCTTCCTCACAATGTCATGAGGGTATTAAGTGCCTAACATGTACCTGGTATATCATATAATAGATCATCAGTAAATATATAGTCCTCATTTCTTCCTGTTCCTGCCACAACATCCCAAAATTTAAAAGGAACTTAACATTTGTTTATATCAAATTTTGCTGAAAAGCAAATAAAATTTGAAAGTGTAAGAAAATCCAAGTATTACAATAAAAGGGGAAAAAATAAGTTAGCTAAAGTTGTACATTTCTATATGCACCTGAGGCATAGAGAGGAGGCCTGGTAGTTCAGGTTGGGCTGCTAACCACAGGTGAGCAGTTCAAAACCACCAACCACTCTGAGGGAGAAAGAGGAGGCTTTCTACTCCCACCAAGAGTTAAACAGTCTCAACAACTCACAGGGGCATTTCTACTCTGTCCGTAGGTTGCTAGGAGATGGAATCAACTTGGTAGCAGAGTTTAATTTGTTGGTGCAGGGAAAGAGTTTGGTAGATTGTAAGTCCTATTGTTCAGAAAGCATCCATTTCCAGAAAAGGAACTGTAGCTACACAAAGGGAGAGCAAACTCCTTGAAGCAAAATCTGCTTCCTAGAATCCCTTCTAATTATTTTTATTTTTCAGACTATTATAAGTCTGTGGTTTATTTTCAACTTTCTCATTTCTTGAATGGGATCTCAGATGGGGGGAGATTTATTTTTCTGTTTTAATTCCTTATTAATACGGTGTTAGTATTTGCAGATATGGATCATTTTCTTTGTATGTTGCAGAAGGTGTAGGATTCTGAAGTCAGAAACAGGCACTTTAGAAATTTTATCATAGCAAGTCTTTCCCGGAAAACAAACATTGAGACAAATTCCAGAATGCCTTCTTAGACCGAAAGACCCAGTGTTGTGTTCTTGTTCAGTAACTTTTGAAACATCCTTTGAGCATCAATTCTTAACTCTGCATCAAAATGCCATGCTCTGTTCGTTTAGAATGCAATTGATTTTCAGCCCCATACAGAGGTGGGTGACAGTTATGTTTCTTTCTTTTTTTAAAAAATCATTCTATTGGGGACTCGTACAACTCTTATCACAATCCATACATACATCAGTTGTGTCAAGCACATTTGTACATTCATTGCCTTCATCATTCTCAAAATATTTGCTCTCCACTTAAGCCCTTGATATCAGCTCATTCCCCAACCCCGCTCCCTCCCTGCTCCTCCTTCCCTCACGAACCCTTGATAATATATAAATTATTATTATTTTGTCATGTCTTACACTGTCCAACGTCTCCCTTCACCCATTTTTCTGTTGTCCGTCCCCCAGGGAGGAGGTTATATGTAGATCCTTTTTTTTTTTTTTAATATATGGAACGCTTCACGAATTTGTCTGTCATCCTGTGCAGGGGCCATGCTAATCTTCTCTGTATCGTTCCAATTTTAATATATGTGCTGCTGAAGTGAGCACTAAATGTAGATCCTTGTAATTGGTTACCCCTCTCTACCCCACCTTCGCTCCACCCTCCCAGTATCGCCACTCTCAGCACTGGCCCTGAAGGGATCGTCCGCCCTGGATTCCCTGTGTTTCCAGTTCCTATCTGTACCAGTGTACATCCTCTAGTCTAGCCGGATTTTTAAGGTAGAATTGGGATCATGATGGTGGTGGGGAGGAAGCATTTAAGAATGAGAGGAAAGTTGTTTGTTTCATTGTTGCTACACTGCACCCTGGCTGGCTCATCTCCTCCCCACGACCCTTCTGGGGATTGTAGAAATGAGTAATTTGGGAACCTGATTTAAAGAATTGCTAGCCATTAGAATAAAGAGAGGTCAAGGGTTACAACTGTTAGAGAAACTGCTTTGTCCAATGTATCAAT